TTTTTTTTTTTTTTTTTTTTGTATATTCTCCTTTTACTTAACCTAAATTCGATCCTTATATAGGATCTCTTGAAAACCAACTGTACAAAAGGAACAAATTACTCTGGATAAAAAATCAGCGAAAAAAATTCAAGGGACGGGTCGCAGGTCGATTGCGAGTTGCAAACTGTGATTGCTCCCCTCCAAGTTTCCTCCTTTTGCATTTTGGTCCCCACTACAAGTTTCTTGTATGTTTTTGGTTCTTTTGAGTTCAATCTTCAATATTGCTCCAACAACTCCCAAAAACTTCCATGTTGGTCCCCCAACTCTCCGTAACCATCAATGATTGGTCCTCCACTCCTCCTCAAGTTTCGATGTATGCAAATCATTTATCAACTTTACATAAATCGAATTTCACTCTTGAAACTTGCAAATTTCATTCAATTGCTTTCTTAATGCTTCATATCCATCATGTGCTATTGTACTATTCTTCAATTGTTTCAAATCAACTCTAATTATGTTTGAAATCTTCCTTTTCACTTCGAGTATCTCCACATTTGAGTTTTACCACATTTACACTAAATTAAATAGAATTTCAATCAATTTACAAACGTATATCAAGATTATAAGCTGGAATAAACGTGCAAAATGTGCTTATCAAAATAGGCTTCATATATGTAAATATCGATAAAGTCTAGGGTGCTGTGAACAAGTTTAGGAATATATAGACAACGCCAGACATTGATATCGATGTGCATTTTACCATTGACATATACTCACTACAACAAAGTTTACCTTTTACGGCGTGCATTGTATGTTGTAAATAACTTTTTACAGCGTGCAGCCGCGCACCGTATAAAGTGATACCGTAAAAGTTGTGTTACTTTTTACGGCGTGCAAAGTACGTCGTATATAGAACACCGTTATTACTTCTACGGCATTCCGTTGCACGCCGTAAAAAGTGATATATTTTTTATGGCGTGCTTCGTATGCACGCTGTAAAGATCAATTTAATTTTTTAAAAAAATTATTTATTTATTTGATTATCAACAAACCTATAATAATTGCAAAACAAAATTAATCCATAGATAATCAAGTTCTCCATTGTTTCGATAAATAGAAATATTGAATACTGTTCAATACAATATGTCAATGTAAAATTCATCTCAACATTTGTTGTAGTGACTCAAGAAGTCAGCACTTATTAATGTCTCGTAACTCGTCCCATGTTGGTGTTCCAAACATATTGGTTTATTACATTTCGAGCTGAGAAAAACTTAAATTTATGTGGCTTGAATCTAAGTACAAATTATACAATTTTATAATTCTTTCTCATAGCATCACTATATTCGTTTCGAAAAGTAAAACTTATATTATTTTGAAGTAACTGAAAGCAATGTTCGATCTAATGCAATTGTTCCACTTATCATCAATCAAAATAGCTTCATTTTCAAATTAATTACAAAAAATATCTCGTTTCTATAACGAATCAAAGTTCCTATAATATATACTTCCATTCAAAATCTATGTCAAAAGAACTAAATTGAATTCCATTAATATAGTTTTGAGGAATATGAGAAAAATTACAGTGAAATCGAAGTTTATGCCTCCATATTTTCGATTTTGCATTCCTCAATTTAGGCAAAGTACCTTCCAATATATGAGCATCAAATTGCATCAAATTCTATCATTAAACACTCAGCATAACAATTATATTCAAATCTCCCACGGAACGAAAAGAAAAAATCAACTATTGCATATGTCGTAAAACAATATTGTTGACAATGTATTTTGTACAAGATACACTAAGTATTTTACTTATCAAATTAAAATCTTGTAAAGAATAAAAAATAATTAATGTGACGTGAGTGATGGTTCATTTGATGCAATGTGTTTAACACTAAATTATTTTTTCGCAAGAACAAATTATCATCATCATCAAGATATAATATTACCAAATAGACGTACCAATTATTGCCATTGCATAATAGATAGCATCAAATGCTAAAGAAATACTGCCTCTAGAGCTTCGGAAAAATAACTTTAATTCTTCTTAATCTTACTGAATGTCGTAACACAACTAGCATTCTCATCGGGTCTTTGAAAATTTGGCAAGAAACTGAATACGTCATTTTTATTCCAAGATAATGTTAAGCTAGCAATTATGTAAATCATGTGTAATAACACAACAAGAAAAATATAATTAGAGATTATGAAATTTGGAGAAATAACTACTCCGAACGAATCATGAAATCAAGAGAGTGGTAGTTACAAAATTATACTGTTAAAGAGCAAATAGCGATATACTAGAAAGATTATAGAGAGTGCTGAAAGTGAAATGTGATGGAATTTAATTTCCAAACTCTCCCTACTTATACACCTGATTTAAAAAAAAAAAATTGAATTCAAATTTCAAATTTCGATGGCACCCTCTATCATGCAGGGTGCCAAACAGCCATGCAAACTGGTCACCTAGTGAACTCGTTCGAGCCATCAAGCGGCTCGTACTAGAAAAATTGTTGCTGGGCTTGCTTGTGGGGTGAACCGAGCGGGGGAGAGGCTCACTCTATTCAAAATGCTTATTTTAAGTTTGAAAAGGTTGCACCTGGATTTCTCGTACATTATGTATTTTAGCATTTGAATTTCAGCTATTTTCTATTTCTGGGCTTTTCAGTTTCCAGTTTTTGAACTCTATAGCATTATGATCCTAACAAACAAAAAAGATCACAATTTGACCCAATCTATTATTTGAGTGCGAGAAGAGCGAGGCGTCCCCTACAATTTTATCTATCGCGAATGACAACTTCGATTTTATACAACTTGTAACTTGTTTGGTAAGACGGATACTTTAAGGAAGAAGAAATTAAAATCTTATTCATTGATATGTCAGTATGATATTCGCACTCAAGTACAATGACAAGGGCCAGACTAGGCTATACCCAAATAAGAATGATGCTTCAATGTTATTTCAAAAAGCAGCAGCTTTGGTGTTAAATCAGCCAAGTATAATCTAGGAGCTAAAACAAAGGGGTAAAATATTTTACAAATCTCATTTACACACATGAAAATTTTTCATTTGTGAAACGACGAAAGGGAAGAAGAAGTTGGTATGCAAGACACAGTCTAAAAACACCTCAAAACAAGGTTTCATTCTTACCGTTGTATAAGGAGACACAATACTAAAATAACAGAAGGGATTAAGACTCTAATTCATCTGGTACTTCCAAGGGTTGTATTTCTGGTATATCAGAGATTTGGTTTAATATGTTTCTGTTTTCATTAAAACCGGTAAAATAAACATATATTATATTTTTTCCTTAAGTGTGACAAATTAATGCTTGCTATGATGATAAATCTATCAAAATACTTTAGCAAAGGTTACAAGTTCAAATCTGACCTAACAAGGATGTTTGTAAATAAAATGAATTATCAGATATATAATATAAATCTTTTATCTATTCTCAACAAAAAAAAATTATTCTCGACGGATCCAGCTAGGGTGGCCGCCCTAGCTCGCCACCCCCTAGATCCGCCCCTGCGGCTCGTACTAGAAAAATTGTTGCTGGGCTTGCTAGTGGGGTGAACCGAGCGGGGGAGAGGCTCACTCTATTCAAAATGCTTATTTTAAGTTTAAAAGGTTGCACCTGGATTGCCCGTACATTATGGGGTTTAGCATTTGAATTTCAGCTATTTTCTATTTCTGGGCTTTTCAGTTTCCAGTTTTTGAACTCCATAGCATTATGATCCTAACAAACAAAAAAGATCACAATTTGACCCCATCTATTATTTGAGTGCGAGAAGAGCGAGGCATCCCCTACAATTTTATCTATCGTGAATGACAACTTCGATTTTATACAACTTGTAACTTGTTTGGTAAGACGGATACTTAAAGGAAGAAGAAATTAAAATCTTATTCATTGATATGTCAGTATGATATTCGCACTCAAGTACAATGACAAGGACCAGACTAGGCTATACCTAAATAAGAATGATGCTTCAATGTTATTTCAAAAAGCAGCAGCTTTGGTGTTAAATCAGCCAAGTATAATCTAGGAGCTAAAACAAAGGGGGAAAATATTTTACAAATCTCATTTACACACATGAAAATTTTTCATTTGTGAAACGACGAAAGGGAAGAAGAAGTTGGTATACAAGACACAGTCTAAAAACACCTCAAAACAAGGTTTCATTCTTACCGTTGTATAAGGAGACACAATACTAAAATAACAGAAGGGATTAAGACTCTAATTCATCTGGTACTTCCAAGGATTGTATTTCTGGTATATCAGAGATTTTTTCATTCTTACCGTTGTATAAGGAGACACATTACTAAAATATCAGAAGGGATTAAGACTCTAATTCATCTGGTACTTCCATGGATTGTATTTCTTGTATATCAGAGATTGCATCTACTGCAGAAGTCTCCATCACGGGTTGTAAGTGCCTCGTGTAATGGAACTCTATTTGTAGCCTCTGATGAAGGGGCGTCGATGCCATCAATCCCTTTTTCAGATCAACTTGCAATTCCCTCAAAGGAATTGCAGCCAAAAAGCTCTTAATGTACTCTTTGCACGACTCTTTTCCCATGCAGACTATCTTATGTTCTTCTTCACTATTTCCTTGCACATTAGTGCTGCTGATAACCATTTGCCCTTTGCTAGTGCCCTCCTTGGCTTCATTTTGCTCATCGCTAACATGTGTATTGTCTGACTTTTTAGTCTTGATATTAGCAAGTTGATGAATGGTTGTATGTCTATCGAATTTCAAGATGAACGCTTGATTGCAGCCCTCATAAAGCCTCTCGCCCAATGTGTCGATGATATAATATGCATCTTGTTCGACCTTTAATATGAAAAAGTGGTCATTCCAGCTGATAATGTAGATCAACCGGTCACTAGTTGGAGAACAATCCGTGGCAGTTCGACATATCTCATCCCAAATGTTATCAAACGACATGGCACCATGGAGGAAATCAAAATCTCCATTTTCCAGTCCTTCTGGATGGAAGAAGCCTATGAAAGACTTCTCCGGTGCAACAGAAATTGGACGAACTTTAGCCTGGAGTACTGTCTCTAGGTCAAAATGTTTGTCTGGGAACCTCTCCCGATAGATCTCGTTTTCACAGAGATTCCTCCACTCTAAAGAACCTTCACGGATCAGGCTGTCGAGTTGGGACTTGATCGGCATTTCGTCAGCATCTGATTGTAACCAATCAGCAATCACAGCTACCAGGGCTGTACATGCACTTTCACCTGCTGCTCTTTCACTCCTTTGATCAATCGAAGCAAAGAAAACTTGTGTTTGTAACTTCATATGTCCGTCGCGACTGATTATCTCCTTCTGCTCCCAGTTACCGACAGCAAAATTGTCATCTCCAAATAGACATGCTGATAGCTTATTAGAAACTGAATCTTCTTCGGTTTTCTGGTGTAGTCAAATAGATAGACACTGTCAGAAGCTTCTCAACAAAAAAATGAAAGAGTATGTAAATATAACTAACTGAAGTCCTGCATTTATCATTATATATTGTAATGAAGGAATAAAAGAAAGAGATGAGATGGAAGCATACCCCAAAAGTGGATTCATCTGAAGAACTAAGTTGCCGGCGATCAAAATCAATATCATCTCCACCTTCCTCCCCATAATGGTTTTTCAATAACGGTTCTCCTTTAACTTTCGGAGATCTGAAGCTTAGTTTCCTCTTCCTCCAGGGAAGGACTCTACGTTTTGAAGTTGGCTGGATGGACTGCTCAGACATTTTCCCTACATCCGATTTCCTGTGGCTATAGTAGACCCAGTCCTGGTCTTCACTACCGCTCGTATTCATGTAACTTGTCGTCCCAGCATGGTTCACATAGGCCAATGTTCCATAACTGAACGACTTCCGACCACCGGAATCCTCCTTCACTTCCTCAAAGTCCACTTCTTCCGAGTCATCAAGTGAGTCCGTATCAAGTGGGTAAATTTCCTCGCTTCTGACTGAGCTCCTTTCATCACTGCCTTCCTCTTCGTTACCTGTCTTTTTAGCCCTTCTTCTAGATAAACCCCTAAAGATATTCACTCTTTTCAGACTGGCTTTAAGAACAGAGTTCTCTTCTTTTTCTGTTGGGGAAATTTCTCCATAGCAGGGTGACAGAGGAAAAGAAAGAACTGGTCTCAGCATCATTCCTGAAGGTTCCTCAGCATTTCTCAATTCTAGAAGGAAGATGGACAGCTGCAAATGAATGTTAAGTCTCGATGAAACATACATATCATCAAACAGAACAAAAAAAAAGTACACAAAACATTGATTGCTTGTTTCGCTAACTGTACAGTAGTAGACTACTATTAAGAAAGAAAAAGAGGTTAAAATCGTGTATATTCTATGGTTCAGTTCTGTAAAATCCTGCATACCAAATATACTCTGAAGGAAAAGGAACAGATTAATTGATATATATATATATAAGATATACCCGTGGAGAGGGTGCTTACACAAAGTGAAGGCATATTATGAATGCTGGCACCTGGCATATCCAGGGGAATCGTGACTTCTCTGTCTTGATTTTCTACATGAGACACGAAGTGTGCGAGGTTCAACGTTCCAGTCGCGATAATAGGGATCTTGCCATTTGGTCCGTGCTTCGAGCCCTGATTTACAACAACAAATAAGCTTTAGGATCTTCAAAGAGATATACCATCAGAATATTCACATAGTTTATGAAGCTGACTAGTTCAACCTATTCTCCCTGTTATTGAGGATAAATAATCACAAAAGCATGGGTATATGCCATAACAGTCCTGATAAACAAAATTGACGAAATTCTGTAACAGAATATATCAGTTATTTCATTTAAAAAATATATAAATCAAGACCACAAGCTGAAACTTGGGTAGGATCAATCTCCCAAAGGAACTGTCAAACACAAGATCGACAACCTTAAAGAATAAGTGCATGTTTGGTAAGTAGTACTTGATGATCATATAATTGACAAGATTTTAAAATTTTCTTTGTTCCTTAATGTTGGCCAGTAATATCCAATCTACCTAACGAAACATGCAATAAATTCATCCCATATTCCAACCACGAACAAGACTGTAAAACAAAATTCAAGGAGAATGCAGGAGGATGATCCTGAAATAGTAACAACCCCAAGAAATCATCCTATCAATTACAAAGTTCACCAAAAAATTACCGAGCAATAAGCAACAACTTATAGGCTAAAGGGATCAAACATCTTTCCTCCGAAAAACGTAAAATCGAAAGAAAATGCAAGAAGATTCAAGAACTTGCCTCATTTTTTCCGAAAATAAGATATGTTATTGCTGTTTATTATTATCATGGTCTTCTCAGAAACAAATGACTAACCAATTAAGTAATAGTGAGGAAGAAAAAAAAATTCGAACAGCTTTAGTTAACAAAAACATCCCCAAAACTCAAATCCATCAGAAAAAAATAAAAATATCATAGTCAAGAGCTCACATTAAAAACGGTGAATGAAACCTCCCAAGGAATAAGCAAACCCTCCTTGTAAGCTAACAAATTGCACAGATTCTGAAACTTTTCATTCCATTCAACAACTCCATCTTCTCTTAAAGTTTTCTCCTTTGTGAAATTCCTCCTTACACTCTTCCTTAAAGTCCTCAAAGCATTGCCCTTTGACCCTTTCCATTTAATCTCAACCGCAAATCTCGCAGAATCTTGGAGTTCTGATGATATGGTGAGGCCCTTAATTTGATGAATGGTGATCTGGGCTTCAACTTTCTTGGATGAAATGGAAGGCCATGGCCTCCACTTCATCATCTTCACTACCATTCTTCTTCTTTTTACTTGCCCAGACGATTATAAACCCTTTTTGACTTTTGATGAACAATATTAAGCAAGGATGAGGATCAATCTGTATATAATTTGGATGGGTGTTCTTGAAGAAGGATTTTTGGAGAATGGGTTCTTATATAAGTGGAAATTTGAAAGTTGGTTTGAGAGAGAGAGACGTTTGTACAGGCTGACATAACGATTATTTAATTTATTAGTGTTGTGTACAACGACTTCCACTATGGAGAGAGAGAGACCTAGGAAATCGTATGTATCTATCTATTCCTAATTTCCTACAATTTTTGTCGAAATTTAATTTAATATTTCTTAGATTTTACTTGGAGAACAAAAATTACTAGTTATTCCTTTAATTTGAGCATTAGACGAAACCGAGTGAATTTTAAGCAAGACATATCGAAATTACTCAAATTGATTGTCTCTTAAAATTGTCTGATGGATGTATTTTCATTCGTTTCATAATAATAATGATCCCGATGTTATATACATGAGCGCAAAGTACCTGCGGTGCTACGTAGCATTGTTCTAATTTATTTTCAACTGATTTATTGACGTTATCTTAAAAGGTAAATTCTTATGTTTTTCTCAGGGCAAGTGAGAAGACAAAAGTTAGGAAAAAAGAATTTTATTTTTCAAAGAAATAGGTATTGAACTTAACGCCGTGATTAAATAAACCGAAAAGGATGTTGGCTAAGATTAATCCGGCACTATGATCTAAATGATGTCTTGATTAAGATTGTTTTGTGGATAGAATTAAAAATTGTAAAAAAATTATAAAATTGGAATGTGACTTATTCTTGGGTGGAAATCATCATGTCAAGACAGGCATATTTCATGCTAAGCTGAGTGGCCAACAACAACCAAAAAAAAAGTTGTTGCATATTATGCCCAAAATGCTCAAAGCATTTGGAATGAATCAACTCTTAACATAGAATATGCTGTCCAGATGAAGGGACCATACCAATGGTTCAATGGAGGAAGTAACAATATAATCGAAAAAACTACAATACTTTAACGGGTACGATTAAAATTTTGATTCGTGCCTCGTTTTTTAGGAGTTTATGATATTATGTTCTATTTCACTCTCTGACGTATTCTTATTTGATTGATCGCTCGAGAAAAGTAATATTTGAAAGAAATAAAAAAAAATTATTTTATTTTGATTTTGAACTTATTAATTTTCTTTGTTTTTTGGTGAAAGCAATGAGTTGATATCTCACCTTCCCCATTGTGTGTTTTTTTTTTTTCCTTTCCTTTTTTTGCTTTTGTTGAGTGGTTTACACAATAATAGATAGCCTTTTCCTCCATCAACTTCCTTAAGGGCATGGGTGAGACAATGACCACGTAGTGGATGACGGTAAGAATAGACAAAGCACTCGTAAACAGAGAGAACGTATTTAAATTAATTTGAAGATAAATAAATTTTATCAGTACAAGTATTTAGATGTCTCGTTGAGTCCAGAATTTAAATATTCTTGTTGTATTAAAGTTTCTAACTGCGAGATTTCTCCATACTTTCAGGGGCCATGCCTATAATGGCCCGATGCACGCTCCATAACCTACTACGATTCTAATTTTCTTTAATGATGATGTAATAGAGCATTTTATTTTGACCAAATAATTCAGTGAGTCTATTAGGCTTGCACATTATGTCGGCAACAATTTAAATTGCAAGATTTGACTATTTGTAAGGGTGGTTATATTCATACAATATTTTTTGTATAAATACATTAAATCTTAATTACATTAAATCCCTATTTGACAACCATTATTCAAATTTTTTTTTGTTTTACATATTCATTTTTTTTACTTTCTAACCACATATTCTCCTAAAAATCACTATTTAAAACTCTATTTTACACAAATAATGATTGTCAAACGAGGGCTATAGGTCATTAACCATTATTTATTATCTCACTTATATCCTCAACTTTTTTCTTCATCACAATCTTATTTTTTTATATTTCATCGATCGGAAAACTTTGTCTTTAATCATGGTTTTCGTCCAAAAATATTGTTAACGTGCTTTAAGATAAGGGTCAAAAATATAGTCATATTTTTGCATTATTATTTGTTTCGCTTGATTAAAAATATCGTAGGCAAATGAGTCGTTTCACTCTATCTTAAAGAAAATTTTGGAGAGAAATCATAATTAGGAACAATTTATGTTAATTTGAGAATAAGAATGGAATGAAAAAAGTTTGAGACATAAATGTAATAAATAATGTATAAAGAATATGAACATTTCATACAATTAAAATATATTATAATTATTAAAAAAAATTGTGGTACGAATATACTTAGCCTATTTATAAATGCCAATAACGCGATTTCTTATATAGAAAAAAGAAACTCATTTTAAGAATTTTGTCAAAAATACCTTTCTTTAGACAAAAAAAGTTTCAAGTTGATTGCTGACTTTTTATTCTTACAAATTTTCTATTGCCCCTTTTGACTTTTTATTGGTCACATATGCTAATAATGGTGTTTGAAATGACCGTTTAAACAACGTCAAAGAATAATAATTTGTTATAAGGACCAAATAATTATATATTCCTTCTTGTTAGTATAATACAACGATAAATAACTAAATTTATGTTTTATATAATAAATAATATTTTTCGATTCCTGCTCTTATAAGGTATGTAATTGAATTTTTTGTGGACACCAGTATATACGTCAGCTCTTGTACTCGATGTGCTGAGTCACATCCCACGATTTACCTTCTCCACATTGCTCTAGGGGCAGGGTGGGGCGGGGCTTTTTTTTAAAATATTATTTAGTAATATTTATTTCTCATTATTAAACGTACCAGGAATATGCCAATTAAAATCTAGCAATAAACCAAGTAAATTTTTAAATATTTAATTTGGGGTTTTTTTTAATTCTTAATTTATTTATGTAAATTAGGTCGTTACCTAATTATTATTTTATCAGATAGTGAGGAAATTTAGGGCCACATAGTGCAAATGCATGAACGTGAAGTGGTGCGCCTCCAAAGCGACAACGTTTAGCCAAATGTCGAATGCGATTCATTTTGTATCATACTTTGCCCAACTATGAGACGCAGAAAAAATATCGGACCTACCAATTCCACTTCCCACCCTATCGAAATTATTATACTCAATCCCTACCCCCCCCCCAACCCTACACCCCCTAACCCTACTCTGCATTATTAAGAGGGACAAGCTTTCATCGACTCAACTTGCTAACAACGAATTTCGTGTACAAATTGTTCGTCAATTCATACAAGTTGGCTTACGTACGAGTCGACTCGTCATAATGAATGAAAAATATATTTCGGCAATAAAAATTAAAAAATATTGACAAACTGCAAGCTGTTTATCCGTTAGAAACGATGCGAGTTGACTTCGATTGAATGAGCCAACTTGGTTGGTGAGCAGAGCTACTCGATTTAGCTCAACTCGACCCATTTAATGCCACTCGCAATATGAAAATATATAATCAGATATCGAGAAATGAGAAGGGTCGAGCGATGAGAGGTTTTGTGAAATCAATTGATGGTTATTATTCGCTTTTTCTTGCTTCATGTTATGTGATTTTGGAGGGTCTCTAGTTTGCTAAATTACATGGATTCCAAATCAGCAGTGTAGAATCAGATTCAATTAATGTCATAGCGATTTTCATTCATAGAATGTCATTTTGTAAGATGCGAGGCGAATGGTGTGACTTACGCCCTTACTTCGAGTGTTCTTTCGATATTTCAGATAGAAAATGGGTTGGGAATTATCCCACTTTTTCTTGATATTTCAGATTCAATTAATGTCATAGCCTTGTTAGTGTTCATAAAAATAACGAGACATTGTTGAGAAAAATATCTCAGATTTAAAACTTAAAAATTCATGCAATATGATATAAATTATGCGTTCCTTAGTCGAAAAGATAGGTATGTTGTGCATGAAATCAAAATTTATAGTATCCACGGCTAGACCTTGTATATATTGTTGATTACGCTATGTGTGAATGAAAGTTAGCTATGCTCCCTTAATCGCAAGGAAGGAGATGCTCAAGACAAAGCTAGTGACTAGAGTGAGACGTCATAAGGAAACTATATGTGGACGCGGCTGGATCACTTCATTTTTAAGAGCGCGTATGTTTATTATTTTCTTTCATAATTTCGTATGAATATTGTTTCAATGCAAAAGACATCTATTCTATCACGAGTAAAATGCCAATAAATTATTAAATATAACGCCGAGTGATTGGCCTAACATATTCCTTGGTAGTGGGAGGGAGCGAGATAAACAATAGGAAGTGACGAAGATGAATATTTTATAAATCGAATTAATAACAATTCGAGTCATTGAAACGATACACTTAAAGATCAAAATTACACGTAAGAGGATTAATATGTCGACGAATAACTAATAACTTTATTTGTTCTCTAATAACCTAATTTTCTAAATTAGATTATCCTTTCATAAATGATAAATATATGTGGACGAATTTGAAGAAAGATAATGCAATAGAATAGTATGCACTTCATAACAAAAAAAAGTATGTAAAAGATCTGACAATTGAAATTTTACAGATATACGACGAGTTGAGTTAAATTCTAAATAATTGTTTTTTCTGATACAATGTTAAATTCTTCATTTAAAAGTATTAGTACTATGAAATCACGAACTTCTTCTAAGACTAGATGACATGCACATAAAGTGGTGTACGACACAACACGGAGAAAGAAAGATTTATAGTTTATTTTTATTAATTTTTAAAGTTAAATAGTGTGCTTATTTTTTTACTCGATGAAGTTTGTTATTGTCTTGAATAAATATGAAATGACAATATTTAACTATCACTGGAATTAGCCCAGTGATGGTTGGAGTGCAACTTTACTAAGTTTAGTGAGTGATGAGATGCAACTTAAAGCTTAGTTAGTGAAACGTGACACTTTGTAAAGTTCAGTGACCTTTGAAACAATTAACTCGGCCACCTGGATTAATTTAACGGCCACATGTGCAAACCGTCATCCACGTAGGCAACCGATTTTGACGGAATTAGTCCGGTGATGGATGAAGTGCAACTTTACTAAGTTCAGTTAGTAATGGGATGCAACTTAAAGTTCAGTTAGTGAAACGTGACACTTTGTAAAGTTCAGTGATCGTTGAAACAATTAACTCCAATATTTAACTATCAACATCGAAATTTTACCTATATATTCATGTCTTTCGAGTAGGGCCGAGATGATCTACATAAACATCGAGTCGGGCATATTATAACTATCGATCTTTAACCCAACACCACATGATTGGTTCTGTAGCATGAGTGAATGCAATGGGCTTTGTGTGAGTCAAAATTGACCATTCCATTAGCATTTGCTAAAGCTTCTTTTTGCTTTGCAATCAATTATTATTTTTGTGCAAAGCCAAAATGCGTGGTTTAAAACGTGCTAAGACTTGTTGCATGCTATGGACCATCCACCCATGGCCCCCGTTATTCTCACTTATCTCTTTTGTGTGAAAGAAAAAGGTTGACTTTTAAACAAAATAAATACTTGGTTGAGTTTTATTAAAATCTTCATGTGGTATTGTTAAGCCCATGTTTGACGATCATTATTTGGGAAAAATAAAGTTTTGAATAGTTATTTTTAAAAGAATGCGTGATTAAGAAGTAGAGAAAAAAATTATTTCAGTTTACGTACAGAATATTTTATTGTGTGAATATGTGGTTAAAAATGAATACGTAAGAAAAAGAGTTTTCAAGTAATGGTTGTCAAGCATGGCCTGAACCTAACTAAATTTATTCAATTGACGAAATAGCTCTAAATGGGACTGTGTGTGTAGTACTCTTATTTATTAATTCAGTTTTAACACCTAATTTAGACAATTTCTGCCTAACGTTTTAAGAGGAAGAAGGTATCGTTTCTTACACTACCACAGTCTAGGAATGGCAATGGCCAAGAATGGTATGAGGTTGAGGCTGGACTTGTTTAATATTTTTAAAATTGCAGTTTGTCTTTAAAAATAAGATTCGATCAATGAGTTAGACCACATCGCAAAAGTGGGATGATTGTTCTCACTCGATCAGTCAAGTTAAAAAATAGAGTAAGTTGTGATAGGTGAAATGTCACATCAATTGTGTCCATTTAAAAGAGTTTTTTGGGGGAAACGAATTTTGGAATAGTGATTTTTTGGAGAATGTATGGTTAAAAAAATAGAAAAAGATTTTGGGTTCACGTGCAAAATATTTTATCGTGTGATTGTCTGACAATGAGTTTGAGAGAAAAAAAAGTCTTGAAAAAATTGAATACAATCAAGAGCTAAGTATCATGTGACAAAGCAGAAACTATGTATATATTGCACAGAGATGAAGAGGATAATTTCTTCACCAGAGTGAATTTTACAGCAAATTTGGTTTTTGTTGCCTTCTCATTACAACAGTCACAAAAAACAAATGAAAAGTGGGTTTTGTGTGGGTTTTGTAAGAACTTAACAAGTTCCTCGAAAGAAGAAGGCCACCACGTGGAGGGTTTTAACCTCAAGGGCTTTTACTATATCATTCCAACCTCATAAACTCTTCAATAGAACAAGGAAGAAAAAGAAATTGAAAAGGTTAAGGAACAAAAAACTCTTGAGAGCCTGTGTTAAAGTTTAAGCGCGTCTTTGAAATTTATGCTGAAACTAGTCTCTAGGCCTCCCTTACCACCACCAGCAATCGGAATCCCTTTTTGCATCATGCAAACAAATTCATTGTAATCAATACGTCCATCCTGCAATAGAAGTCAAAAGAATCTTATTGCGAATTCTAAACACGATCTGTACTATACATTAAAGTACACGTCGTGCATTCATAAAAAGATTGGTTATAATGCAAAATGTTGCCGAGTATGTCATCCAAAAGCACAGTAGAATATTTGCTTCATTATTGTTAGATATTTAGCCACATGGTACAACGATACTTAGCCTAGAACTCGATGTCATTGATCAACAACGAATACTTGCCCTTACTTTCTTGTTATTTAGAAGTCATAAAACGTCAAACTGTTGCAAAAGGATAAACTTACATTGTCCTGGTCAACTTCCTGGATCATCTCTTCGAGGCGCGAATCCTCCATACCAAATTCCTGACATGCTTGTTGAAGCTCGTCTGGGGTGATATAGCCACTTCCGTCTTTATCAAAGTATGAGAACGCAGCAAATAAATGATCCTCTCTCTCAATTTTATTGAGATGCAATGTTGCAGCTACAAACTCCCCATAATCAATGGTTCCACTGTTATCAACATCTGCCTGCAATTACAGAGAATTGGAGAATATTCAGAAAAATGAAGGTACAGTATGTCAGTATCCTCTTTCTACATTGGTCAATGAAATTTAAGAAACACGAATGAAGAGAATGTAATGCCTTAGGATAAGAGCAAATTCGATGAAACAGAAAGTGCTACAGGAATTCTATGTGATGGGAACATTTCATTATGGTTAAAGGCAAGTTCTGCAATTGCGATCAGACAAGATATGCTTCGTGGTTATGAGTGTTGAGCAATAAAGTACAGAAACCAGATCATCCAGAAAATTTTTTTAAAAAATGAGAATATACACTAACATGTGGATGTAGTGCCAATCAAGGAAATAACCAAGGAAAGGGTAACATTGGTGGTTGGTTTCTGTTTAAATTGATTTAACGAGGCTCCCATTCATAAAAGTGACTCAATTTTGGTAGAGCACACTAGAAAAGAGGAAGGGGTAGCTAAGGATCTAACTGGTTTAAATTTCCTACTAATTTAGCAATGACCTGAGCAGAGCGGTGAAGAAAGATTAATATTCTCAACCCAAATCTATTGAGAATAAAGTTTAATTAGTTGTTGTTGCTGCTGTTGTTGTTGATGTCAAATGCAGTTGACATTGTTTTTAAGTGGTAGGAAAATTTGGGCAAGCAGGTAAAGAGGACAAAAGCTATACATTTGATCGGGTACTTACTGCTTGCATTAGATCATAAATCTCTGACTCGTTCAGATTGGCACCGACTCTCTTCAGTCCAGCTTTGAGTTCTTCGAAAGTGATATGGCCACTGTTATCAGTGTCTATCATCTTAAACATTTCTTTCAGGCCAGCAATTTCTTCTTCGGATAAGGACTCTGCAATTACCTGCAACGTACGTATATCTAATCAAACAGAAATCTGAGAAGTACTTGTTTAGATTTTAAAATATATTACACGCTTCATTTTATTATATAAAATTTGTATATGTACAACTTAGTATTTTTGTTAGACATACCACAGCAACCTTAAAACCCAAGACTTACTCTAAGAGCCATTTTCTTAAGTCTATTCATCGCTGAAAATTGTTTCATACGACTCAAAACTGCCGAGTCAAGAGGCCTGTCAGGAGCCACTCCTTCAACTTGAACCCAAGGGTGGCCTGAAGAAAGTTCAAGCTTCAGGTGAGCAAAAAAAGTTAATAAATATTGTACAACACAGAACGGGAGAGTGATAGAAAATGTGTCATGAAAATTACGACAAAGGTAAAGATGAAATATTTTCCTCGCTCTGCATTCAACTGATGAAAGAGAGAGAACCCATTACATTCGATTATTGACACTGAAATTTACCTGAGGAATGCCTTGGGGATCTAAAAATGCATCAAAATAACTATTAGCAGAAATTGCTCAATTTCAGAATTTAGATTTGTAATAGGGATCTCAAAAACAAGAATAGAATATAAACTTATTTAGTCAAAGTTTTTGGCACCCCAACTCTCTTCCAACTTGAATCAAGCAACTCTCCACATCATAATATATAAACTATTTAAAATAATTCCTTCAGAGATACTTACACAAGACTTCATGTGCAGTTAAACGTTGTTTGGGGTCTCGAACAAGCATTCTCCTAACCAAATCTTTTGCCTCTTCTGATATAGTTGGCCAGGGATCTGATGCAAAGTCAAGATCGCCATGTAGGACTTGTTCAAATATTCCTTGCTCGTTTTCTACAGTAATTAAAGAAGAGAGAGGTTATATTCATACCAGTACAAATTATGACATTTATGTTATGTTTGGTAATGTGGATTAAATAGTACTAGACAGTATTAAGAAAGGAAAAGAAAAGAGGCTAAAATCTTCTTCATTCTACTAACCAAATGTTTTAATACCATATAAAAAACATGTGAGAAGAAGTTGACATAATTCATTGAATTTAAACTTTCACTACTCTCACCGGCCCAGAAAGGAGGAACACCACTGAGTAAAATATAAACAATTACTCCAGCACTCCAAACATCGGCTTCAATCCCATAGCGCTTTCGAAGAACTTCTGGTGCAACATAATATGGACTACCCACCACATCAGTAAATTTTTCTCCTGAAAATTGATTAGTACCAGTTCCTTGTTATATACGAAAGAAAACCAAAGGAAAAATGACATGCAACACATGAAAAGAGAATTGTTGCTTTTGAAAGTTGTATCAATGTCTAATTCAAGGATGCAAAGTATTTGAAAATATATTTCATCAGCATGAAAAAGTATCGTAAACAAATAATTCACTACCTATCTTGAGAACCAATGTGAATGTGAAAGTAAAAAATTGAATGCATTCTAATGTGTACGTTGTTCACGTAGAATGCAATCAAACCAAATATAGGGTTATAGGAGAAGGGGAAAGGGAAAGGGAAGAGAAGAGAAGAAGAAGAGAAAGGAGGGGGAAAAAACAAGAGAGGGAGATAAAAGGAAGGAGATACAAATCAGAGAAAGAATTAGACAAATGGAAGCAGAATTTAGGGGAGAGAAAATATCTTTATTCAATTCATTAATTCTAATTATTACCATGCATAAGCCCTTTTTACATAGGGTTCTACCTATTTAATTTAAGTAGGAAATACTTATAAAAATAACTTAAAAATACTAGAATATTTGTAAAATAAACCCTAATGACTTCGCTATAATAAGAGACCGTCATATCATCTCTCTCATAGTATCTACATCATTTCTTTGCGACTCCAACAATATAGACTACAACTTCAATCTTCAAGGAGGCTGATTTTTTGTCCTAAAAAATTATAGATATTGAACCCTTGATAATGACATAAGTTATATTTCATACCAAGGGAGATAACTTCTGAAAGTAGCATATGGTGTGATCCATCCAAACAATATCTTCCTAAGGGGGAAGATCTTCCCTTTGGATCAAATATCGATAGTGAAGCCCAAATAGCAATAAGCCCATAACTTGAGCAACTTTAAACACAAAAAATATCAATTTGACTCCACACAATGAGGAGTGCAAGGAATTAGCACAGAGTGACCTGTAGGATCAAATGAATGCAATATTGGTGGCTCTGATGGGCCATGATAAGGAAACAATTTTGCTATATTGAAAAGTAAACGTCTATTCAAGTGAAATGGCCAGTTGAACATATTATTTTCAAGTGAGTAATTCAAAAACGTTGTTTTAGAGCATTTAGGATACCGTTCCAAAGAAACACGTAACAAAGCACAAAAATCCCCATTAATGTACTTGTGCTTACCATGCACATTAAAAGCAAATGCATAATTTCCATTATTTAAAATAATTTGTATTTTAATCTCAGCAAGAAAACTGTGCACGTGGCTAAGAAAGGTCGAAGCTGAAATAACATGACAGTAATTAGTAGGTAACAGTTTATTATCGAAAAGAAAAGTTTACAAACAAACTATTGCCTTGGAAAAGAAGTTGACAAAACCCAGGGAGCATTGCGTGAAGTAGGACTCTCTAGGACAAAGTCAATATGAAAGTCAAGCAAAGGACTAGGCGAGAATGATTCTGGCACCAAGTTGAGGATGAAATGTATGGCTTGGAAGTTAGAATCAATTGATATTAGCTTTTATGGGAAAAAAAAAAAGAAGCACAAATTTTCTTCCATACCTAATATTGCTATTGCTGTACAAATCAACCGAACATATACACTTACCAATCTAAATCCACATCAAGGATTAGAACCCAACATAGAAATCGGCCCACATATCAATCACAGCCTACCATCAACCTAAGCCAACCCAAACCCGAAACAGTAGCCCCAAATATTTCCACAACCATGTCCTGAGTCTACATATGACCCAGCCACCATATACCAAAAACATTACAACTTACCCCAACCCAAGTCTCCGGCCCATACATCCTCCCTCACAAAGCAGCTCAACGAATTTGATTCAGAATGACAGACGGTGTAATGATGAAAAAACAAATTTGATTCAGAATGAATGTAACATCTTCTTCTAGTCATTATTCTAATATTTTTGGTTATTATACTTTTTTTCTTTCTTTTAACTAAATAAGTTGCTTGTATTGAAAGACACTCTTACCATGCTGTCAAAATCTTTAACTAACAAAAAATTATTTACAAGCGCTTGCAATTACAGATTTCTAGAGTGTGAATAAGGATTAATTTCACACACATGAAGAGAACAATACGAAAGAATTGCGTTGTGTACCTGGCTTGAAGAATATTGACAATCCAAAGTCGATTGTCTTGAGGAGAGATTCCTCCTTGTGATCAACAAAAAGGAAATTTTCGGGCTTGAGGTCACGATGCATAACTCCCAAAGAATGACAAGCTTCCACCACTCCAACTATAGTCCTAGTAAGCTCAGCAGCCTTCCTTTCGGTATAATGCCCTCGTTGAATGATTCTATCGAAAAGCTCGCCACCTGCACATAACTCCATAACAACATGAACAGCAACAGCATCCTCATACGCCCCTTTAATAGATATAACATTCGGATGCCCAGCTAGATGGTGCATTATCTGAATTTCCCTTCTAACATCCTCCACATCATCATCATGCAATAACTTCCTCTTGGCAATCGATTTGCAAGCGTATTCTTTGCCCGTATGTTTTTCCACGCAAAGGAATGTTGTTCCAAACTGTCCTTGTCCTAATTTCTTCCCCAATCTAAAAAGCTCCTTCAAATTTCCAGTTTTCCTTTGCAAAACAGAATCAGTCCTAAGCCCTGCACTGTTATTCCTCTTCATATGAGGAGGCCTTCTAGGTTTAACCAGAACTTCTTGTTTAGTTTCCGGCTTTGGAATTGTCACTTGTTCCGGTGGTGTGTTTTGTACCGGCATAGGCGACTCTGATTCCCTGGCAGAAGTTGGCATCTCATTTTTTGCAGTCTCCACATTTACAGAAGAATCATTATTATCTGGCATTCGGGATCGCCATATGGCAGCTGAAACCGATTGAAAAATACCATTTTTGGATATGCTTGGTCCAACACAAGTGTTCCCCATCTAGTCTCTAACTCAATTTTCTCAGAACCCGTTTATTTTCAGCATTAAGAACTAAATCTTATGCTTTGTAAGTAAAGAGCATCTAATCCTAATATCATTCCCAAAAAAAAAACCCATCACATTCAAAAATCAAAATTCTTCTTTTCCGCCTTAAATCGCAAGAATAATTCCATACTGAACCTTATAATTAGCCCAGGAAACCTACTAAGAAAACATAAATACCCCCAACCACTCAATAGTTTAAGTGATTTTCAAATTTACTAACCAAATTACATAACAAACACTTCAACTTTCAACTGTAATTCACATGAACAATCAAGAAAGCACGCGAAAATCAAAAGAGTATCAAGTTAAAGAAGTCAAAGGCGAAAAAATATGCATAGATTGAACAAGAACTGGCACAATTAATAATAGAATAAACAGAAAAAGAAAGAACGAACAGAAAAAAGGGGTAAAAAACAAAAGTTACAAGTTTTAAGATTCCGTATTTCAGAGCAAAATTCTACTTTAGAAGAAGGGTCAAAGAATATGAAGAGGCTGCCACACACTGCAAGGAAGAAAAAGTTGAGATCTTGATGAGAATCGGTCACATTCCTGAATTGGTCTCTATTAAATATTAAATTACTATAAAATTAATTAACAAAATTGGTGCATTTTCATGTTTAATCATGTAAAATTTGGACAAACTTGCACAAAACACGCTTTTTTTGTCGGATATTTCAACCTTGAGTTTCCTGGTTGACATTGTAGTATTGTATTTTTAAATAAATGGTATATATTATCTGTCAGTTATTATTGGTCAATATAATTTTTAATTATATAAATAATTTTGTCTACATTGTGGAATTTAAAATTGTTAATGAGGATATTTTGGTCTATATTGTAGTAAAATGGACATTGAATAAATTTTGGACATTTTTACAAATGACCATGTAAAAGTTGACATTTTTTGCAATTTCCTCAATTTAAATTAAGTTTTTTTTTTTATCAGACTCACAACTTATTAATAAACTTTTATTCACATATTTTATAAAACTTGCTACTTATAAGAACTTGAAAATAATATCAAACAAGCAACACAATTTGTTGGTTGTAATTATTATGCAATTAATTTAGGATTATGGTATTGATAAGGATTTTCTTATCTTACGTAACATAATGTTGTCCAAGAGATAAAAGACAAGAAATGAGTTACTCGTTCCTAGTCAATGTCGATTTTCTTAGTCTGTATTTGTTAATTGATAATCGATTGTCCCTCAATAGAATTTGAACTTATGAGCAATTTATTAACACGAGTTGTTCTACTCCTAAGCTATTGAGAAATCCCAAAATATTTTGTTCTATGAATGATGTGAGCTCAAAATTGTGTTGTGTTCATCTTGTTTTGAACTATTCAAATGTTTTTGTTGACAAAGAAAGGAAACAAAAAGGGAAAAAATGAAGATGTGTTTTTTTAGTGAAATCTGCTTTGAAAGTGTAATGAAGGCAATGCTTTAGACACTATTCTATATGAAATACTTTTAAATTTAGAAAATGTAATCAAGATTTTATATTATTTTAGGTATTCTTCTGCTTAAATTTGATTACTTAAAATCTTATATAAAGAGGAATTATACGAATTCCTTATTGAATAATATTTTCACTCTAATTTTTCTTGGTATTCATTGCATCTTATGTCATAAACAAGTGTTAAAATTTGCAAGTTCTTCAATAAGTTATTGTTCACGATCTGCTTACGAGGTTATTGTGCATGTTTTGCTATTCATGTGAAAAGAAAAAATTAAAAATTCTACAACTGCTAATTCAGCGAAAGAACCACTTTACTGCAAGCCTATAACTTCACCGAGGAGCCCATTCTCCCTTAGCCCACATGAAACCCTAATCCTAGCCCAAGGCTAGGCCCAATCACTAATATCTTGATTAGATAAAGAGGAAATTACATGGAGGCAGGTGTTTAAAGTTTCAAATTTAAAAATTAGAAACCAAATTTCATTCTTCAAAAATCAGATGCTATACAAATACTCTAACCCTAATTTTTCACTCTCTACCCCCTC